TTCACATCTCTGTAAAAAAAAGTAGCAAGTTGTCAAAGATACCAACAATACCTCAGGCTCTAAAAGCGCGTGTTTACATGTTGAGATTCAAGTTATGGTAATACTCTGACAACACCAAAAATCAGGATCCGTGAGACGTAACGAATTTGTACAAAGTCCACGTCTTTTGTCAAACACGAATTGCTCCTCGAGCCAAACAGATTACGTGCATCAAAGATTTCTTAGCTACGGCTTTCAAATCAATGATGAAAATTATATGTTCACGAGGATCACTGCGGGCAGAAGTGCTTATTAATTGCTTTGCTTCAGCAGCTTTCCGTTTTCTTTGATTGCAGTTCATACCTAACTCAACAATGGTCCAGCTTTTAGTTGACTTTTTGCTGCAATTTGTCGCAGTAACGGTGGATGGTCCTGTTGTGTAATAGAAAACTTTGCAGTATGGAATCATTCACGGCAGGCGTCATATTGTATGTTTATGCCCCACAGCAGGGATCATAGTCTATGTTTATTTTATCCTCACATTTCACAGTCCATCATACTTCCTGTGGTCTCTTCAAGCGCGGTGTGTTGACACGCTGCAAAAGCGATCAGCAACTTTGTTCTCATTGGCATGCACATGTGCTCCAAGTAAACGCATTGCTTGTATACACAGTGAATTTTTGTAAGCATATTGTCCTGGCAGCCACACTGAATGAAGATGCCTGTGCAAACGAAAACATAATGACTTCGTGTCAAAACCTAAAGGCTCCGTTAACTTCAATTTAAATTAGAAATAGAAAAATGAGATCCCACAAAGCTAGGAAAATACTTTATTTCTGTCCCTGTCATCTCCCATACCGTTTTTATATGCTTTATCATTGTCTCTCTATATATCACGATAAATTATGCATGCAGAGCAACCAACAAAACTCAGTCATGCACATAATTAAAACAAAAAGAATCACATCAGCACTTTTTTTTACTGTGGAACAATGCAAACATGTCTTAAGTAAACAATGTCATGCATAATTAGACGGGCGGAAAAAAAACCCAAACATAGTGCGATCTTGCAGGAAGCTATCCACAAGGGTAGATCTGACGCTGAAACAGATGACAAATACTCTCACCTCCATTTCCTCTGATCTCAGAGAACTGAAGACAATATACACTATGTGTTATTTCCCCTCCCCCAACTCCTGCAGCTAATTTAAACAGTGCTTTGAAAATAAATTATGATCTGTTTAAAGTGATCATAAGGTCAAGTCTCTGCCTAACAAGTGTTGAAGAAAAAGGCATGGATGTGTGGACATGAGCGGAAATAAAGTGTTATCAGACGCTTGAGCTTAATATATATATATTTATAGCTCAGAGACGTGAAAAAAACAACAAGCCATATTTGGAATACGTTACCCATGGCTGTCCTGTAAACAATTTAATCGGCAGGCAAATGAGCGGGAATGAATTTAAAATATGATTAGAGTGTGAAAAAGTTAAATAAAAACCATAAACATGTAATTTTTTTCTATATTTGCCACAGTGATAAAAATGAATCTTTGGATCTTACTGCATGTGTGACTTTACGCTAGTATTTAACGGGAAAACCATGGATTAATCTTTAATATGCTTTCAGTTTAAAGTACGACCCAAGGCAAATAACAGAAAACGAGACATAACTACTCAACCAGCGACCAAATTTCACAAAAAGCACGTAGTGCCTCTAAAAGTCTCTTTCGGTCGACAAGAATAGATTACAGACCCGCCAATTTGTGAATTCCTGTTTCACAAGAACTGATTTGACTGATTACAATGTTAGTAATTATTTTCTTATCTTTGCACAGTGTCAGGCAAGCTGTTTTTTCTTTGTCTTTGTATTATGAAAAGCTTACTAGCTGTCATAACCAACCATAACCATATTTTTTTCTGCAGTGACTATTCTAACCTTACTGATAACTCAAAGCTCAGGTGACTCTGTCAGTGAATACAGAGGTGTCGATTTTTTGCTTGTTAGCATTAGCACCCTGTTAAATATAGAATTCCTGGTGTACCTTCATAACCAAGCAGGAAAGCAGTGCAATATACTAAACTGTAGAAACTACAAAAGAAACCTTAATATAACAACTGTGGCCATTCTAAAGCCTCTAATATATCCATATTTACCATCATTTTGTGACCATTTGAAGCCTGAGGGTGAACTAACTTTTAAATGAAGGGACACTACATGCTCATATGTTCCACTAATGGTAACCAACATTAGAAAATACACATCATGTTGTATTAGATAAGACTTTAAATTAGCAAATGAGACCATAAACTCATCCGGATATTATTTAATGAGATCATAGATCAAAGGAAGGGTCATTTTATGATAAACTTCTTAACAGAACTTCTGCAACATGTGGAGCGGTGCCGTGTTTGCAATTAGAAATGATGCCGTTTTAAGACACTTTCTCAGTGTCATAATTTTTTGGGATCTGGAAATCTGGAAATCTGGAAGCCATATGCTAGTTTTTTACATACAGTATGTGATAACTGCGCTCTTCTGCCTGCCGGGTTATTAAAATATGATGAAAGAGAAAAGGGGAGATTTGAATATGTGAACTTGTTTTTATGAGGGGACCATTCAAAATGGGACACAATGGAGCTGGAGCACAAAGAAAAATAATGTGGGCAACATGTTTGTTGTGTTTTTGATAGAATGGATGGGTATATACAGTATATATATATACAGTCATGGTAAAAAGAAACTACACCCTCTTTTAATTCTAAGGTTTTATATATCGGGACAGTGTGTGATACTCAGTTGATTACTTGATTAATTGATAACCAGCAAGTGCGGCCACATCTATGAAATCTGCGTTTGTGTCAGTTTTACAGGTCTGAACCACACAGGTGATCTTATTAAAGCAATTGTTGCTGCCTGTGATTCTGGAAAGGGTTATAGGTCCATTTCCAGATTATCTGAAGTCCATCGTTCTACTGTGAGAAAGACTATTCAGTGGAAAACATTCAAGATAGTTTTCCCAGTGTGGATACCCCATCAAATTCACCCCAGACTGTGCCACACTAAGAGAAACAGCTAAAACTCCAAGAGCTACACCTCAGACTCAATTATAAAAAAACTAAAAGTATGGCTTAATTTGGAGAGGTTGCTAGAAGAAAGCCTCTTCTCTCGATAAATAGCATGGCAGTCTACAACACTGCATCTGAATAAACCACAAGATTTCTATAAAATGTCCTTTGGACAGATGAGACCAAACCACACTTGGTGAAAACTGAAACAGCGCATCACAACAATCATCTCGTGAACTGTAAAGCATGGTGATGGTGATGATTTTGGTTTGTTTTGCAGCCACAGGACCTGCACACCTTGCAGTAACTGAACTCTGTAAACCAAAGTATGTTGAAACTGGGTCATGCAACAAGAAAATTAACAGAAGAACAGCAGCAAATCTACAGCAAAATGGCTGAAAAAGGAAAGATGAGGTGTTGCACTGAGGCCAGGAAACCTCAGTGAACTGAAGCAACATTGTAAAGAAGAGTGGGACAAAAATCCTCAACAACAATGTGCGAAATTGAGAAAGTCACACGATTTCGACAACGACTACGTCAAGTTGTTGTTTTTCACACCTTGCTTCTGCATTTTTGTTAACTATATAACCAGATCATTTTTTATGATTTCCGTTTATATAAAACCTTTAGCAGAACTTAAAGAGAACATACTTTCTTTATGTCATAACTGTAGATACGATTCAATTTTTTGGTTTTTAAAGTGTTTCAGTTGTGGAGAAATATCTTTTAGCAAGTGCTGGGAACATTGACCGCATGGATTTTATGTATCAAGTGAGCAGCATTAGAAATCTTCAGCAAACAACCAGCTGCTTCTTTAACATGCATGTATATTTTTGAGATAGCTGCATTTCTAGATTGTCAGGTTATTGTTGGAAAATGGGGAATTCAGTTTTATTATAAATTCTTGATTGATGAAATTATGATGTTGCCTATCAACTGCTAGCAAATTAAGGAAATTAGCAGAACGCTAGCATCCCTGCATTTTGTCTAGACGCAAGACAAATATATTTGCCTCTTAGCTTCTGTAGATCATTTGGCTAAATGATCACTCTGCACCATTTGTACAGGTAAAGGAGCAGGGTTGGAATTGTGACATTGAAAAAACAATAATTGCTAAAATAAATTTAATTTGTAGTTCTAAATAAATTCTAAATGCATTTAGGACGTTTTTTACTCACTTTATGTCTCTTCCACGA